GCGGGAGATCGAGAGCGAGAGTGAGAAGTTTTTCTTTGTCTTGTTTTAATTTTGAGGTCCAATAATGGAGTCAGTGAGATCGAGAGCGAGAGATCTAGAGCAAGAGAGCGGGAGATCGAGAGCGAGAGTGAGAAGTTTTTCTTTGTCTTGTTTTAATTTTGAGGTCCAATAATGGAGTCACAGAGAGGAAGTTGAAGAAATTAAAAAAAAATCAAGAGGGAGAAGGGGAGAGGAAGAATAGCAGAAAATTAGGGTAAAAAATAAATGGAGGAGAGAACAGAAAAAAGGATAAAAAATCATAAAAGAGAGGGAGGGGAGAAGATAGAAAAAGGGGAAGAGAAAAAAAAATAAGAGAGAGGATAATGGTAGAAAAGCAATCTGGTATTCAAGAATGTCTAGAAAACTCATGTTTTTAAAGGGTGATTAGAAATCAATACCCCATTTTTAAAATGTCCATCCATCCAAATTTTCCAAGAATTGCTCCGAGACCAGTAAACGAGGCTTATTTAGGTCGTGTTGCTTCTTCATGAAGCTTCAGCACATATTTCAGCTAGTGAATTATTTCCTTACTCTGCAAACCAAAAATGCTGCGCCCATATGTGGAAGAAGTCATTTCAACCAGAAGAGGAAACTGCAGCATTGCAAACAAGATCACAGGCACGAGTGCAAATACTATAATAGGAGCCCACACCCACTGCACTTGATGAACAAGAACCAGGTAAAGCGATGCACTAAAGGCTGCAACCATGGATGATATAGAGACGAATAACGACACGAGCCCGACGATCAATCTTGTAGGCAACGCCTTGAGAAAATCGTCATCTGAATAGCGCGAGGTGAGTATTCCCAAGAACATCAATACTGAAGCAGATGAAGTGATTAGTGCCAAAGCATCTGCCGCTGCAAAAACCATGAAAGATCTGCGGTGTGCGAGAATCGGGACGCCTCGATCGCTGCTGTTACCGCCAGGTACAGTGAAAACTGCCGTGAATGCGACGGTGGCAACGGTGCATGATGAAGCAGTGTTCTTCATCCATTTCTCACCTTGGTGAACTAGCCATTCATGCTCTTCACTGAATACCATTTTTGGTGTTTTATCTTCTTTGTTTTTCATGCTTCTGTAGGAGGGTTGCACTAATCTTTCAACTTCCTGCAGAAAAATTCCACAACCACTATGACAACCTCTCTTGAAGAAATAAAAAGGGAAACTAATTACGGCTTAAAACTTACCCACAAAATTGTGCAAGAACCAACTAAACAATAAATCACATCAAGTTCATCCAATAGAACAACTCAAAATCAAGTCACATAAATACCCCAGTCCAACCATGAAAATACCCAAACCCAACTACGAAAAGAAAAATGGGAGTGGAAAATCCTCCAAAATTAGCAATGAAATGCCTGGCCAAACCTAACTAAAAAATATTCAATATGATTAGAAGAGCAAATATCCATAAAAATAGTCTCACCCAATCAAAAGAATGCTCATAATCAATCACAAATCATAAAAATGAAAACGAAACTCAACTAAAATTGAGGGTATTAATTTAACCGTTTATTTCAAACACAGGAAAAAACGATCTTTCCCACTCAAAGACCTTATAGGGTTGTTTATAGAAACCTCTTTTGCTATTTGTTTATAAAAATTAGTCCTTTTGATCTGTTATATGTTTCTCATTTCTCCTTTTTAAAAAAAGGTATATAAATTACCTTAAACCATTGCAATTCTCGCTGCAATTGCAAAGCAGCACCAGAGATTCTATCAGATGGTACCAGCTCCCCTGCTAAATGCAGAATGTTGTTATCATCCGTCTAGGAATGCTACTGCAAAATGTTTATGCGAAGTCATTTGATATATAAGATTGTAAATCTTTTCTTGGGGATGCAGAACAGCTAGTTGGAAAATATTGCATTGACGCCTATCGCGAAACCAAATCGAATAGGGATAAACCCTGAGAATCTCTGTTGCAACTTCAAGAGTACCCATTCTTGCAGCTGAAAGTATTGAAGTTGAAAATAAGCTGGCACATTTTTTTCCCCTACGTTTAAGGCTTCTTCACACAAGCGTCTAACCAGCTTACGTGCTCCCAAATGCATACGCTTTGTGTTACGAACATCCTTGATGAAGGGTGCTGTCACTACATTCATAATGGATAATAATAGAGGAAGAATAAATGACCCATTTAATAACCATTTTGATTTTGTTTTATGTTTTCAACAGTCATGACTGTTCACAAAATAATTTTCTTTGTTTCGTAAATACACATTTTTGAAATCCAAACTGAAATCAACTTTGTAGAACAGAAAAAAAAAGTTATTAAACAGGATTTGAATGTATCAATTACGCAAATGTTGTGTCAGTGGCTACCTAATTTTCTAAAAGCCGCGACACGGATGGATGTCAGTAATTGGTATAATACACCTTTAGAATCTTCAAATAGTTTAGATCAAAGTTACTGGCATATAATATAAGCAAATAATGCTTGATCAAAATCTAGAGAAGCAACGAGCAGCAGTTAGAACATGAGTTTAAAACGASGAACAATCGGAACAATTAAAACAAACAGGAAGAAAATAAGAAGTTCAAGTAGAGTATAACCTGCATTCTTTGAGACTTCAGGAGGGTTTTCAACATCTCCATGTCGCAAGGGCAGAGGAGAATCAAGCACTTCTACAACAGCGCCTGAAGAAACAAATGAAGAGGCATTTCAAATGGTTGCTTTCCAAATGTTCAAACATATAAAATTGACAAAATGATTCAGGTTAAAAATAGAGTTTGGAAGGGATGTATCAGAAATGTACACCAACAAGGATGAAGTAAGCGTTTCCAAAACCCCAGCTGACTTCCGCTCTCAAACACATCTGGTTTTTGTGCCAACATTTGCAGAGCAGTGACCCCATATTGATCTTGTTCGACGGCCAACTTGGGCTGCCGATTTAATATGTCAAGAGCTACATCTGTTCAAAGAAAAATTCACCGACCAAAGATTGAAATAAGAAAGATAAATTCCTATTCCATTCACCTAAAGCAAAGCAACTTGGCTTTAGTGTTTGGACAAAAGTAAAATTCACATACCCAAAAATGGGGATGGGGAGGATAAGAAGTGACCAACCAAAGATATGCAGTGTAATCAGAAGACTGAGAAGCCTAAGGAAAGAAACATGGYTTCAATGGTTGAACAAAATAAGGTTAAAAAACCCATTTTATCCCTGTATTTTCGCGAAGTAACGATTTAGTTTCTAAATTATAATTTGTAACGATTTAGTCTATGTACTTTCAAATTGGTAACAATTTAGTTTCCGAATTTTAGTTTGTAATAATTAAGTTCCTATARTTTAAAATTTATAACAATTTASTCTCTACCGTGAAAAATATCGTCAAAATTAAGTGCCGATTTTTATCAAACAACAATTTAGTCTTTATAATTTATAACACATTATTGATCTACATGTATAAGAAACTTAACAAACATTTTTATAATAGAGACTAAATCGTTATGAACTTTAAATTACAATGACTAAATTTTTACCTACTAAAGTTTAACGATTAAATTATGATTACACACTAAAGTTCAATGACTAAATTGTTAYTCAAATAAAAATATTTAGACTAAAAAATGGAGTGTGGGAAGAGTTTAAATTACCAAACATGTACATTAAATGTAATCAGAAGATTGAGAAGTCCAAAGGAAAGCAACATAGCTCTAATGTTTCGAGAAAGTAGAAACCACATACCAAAAAATGGGGGGTGGGGATTGTTAAATTACCAACCGTAGACATCAAATGCAATCAGAAGATTGAAAAGCCTAGAGCAAAGCAACATGGCTTTAGTGTTTCAAAAAAGTAGAGTTCAGAGACAAGGGAGGGTCACCAACCATAGATATCAAATGTAATCAGAAGATTGAGAAGCCTAGCACCAGCTTTACCAATAAATACCCATTCATCCTTGGTCACTGATAGAAGATACAAAATCATGTCCCTGTGCCCATATTTGGCTGCGAGATGAAGGGGTGAGTAATTGACCTTATTTTTAATCGAAGGCAGGGTCTCGTTTTTCCAAACCAAGATTTGTGCAGCCTTAACATTCCCAACAATGGCGGCAACAGCAAGTGCAGTATTGCCACATAAATCTACCTGTGTAAGCGATAGCGATCGTTCACACATAAGGTTCACAAGCTTTTCCAGAAAATCCGAATTGTCGTCGGTGCCGACTGCTACATGGAGAGAAGTCTCGTTCAAGAGGGTGATCTTAGACGTAATCACGCTAGAATCTTGGTTGAAAATGGTTTCTGCAACCTCCCATTGACCCATTAGCGCCGCTCTGTACAATGGCGCACGGCGGATCACGTTTTCATCCCACATCGTCTTCGCTATTCTTCCTGCAAATTTTAGTGCAAATCTACTGTGTTTTCGTTTGCAAATCACTTCAATAACCGATGAAATTGGGAAGGGTCCAGCCTAGGGTTTTAATTGTTCGTACCTTGGTTACTTCGACTTCTTTGACCAGTTCCCTCTCCATCACTTTGTAAGTTCCATTCAGTATCACTGAAATAAAGTCTTGCCTCAGAATCGCTTTCTGGAAGTCTTCTCTCACCAGAACTACTTTCTGAAGAGCTTTTGATTTTGCGCGGAATGCTCTCTTCATAATCACTTTCTGAGAGACTCTCAACTTTGTGCCGGCTCTCCTCGGGTTCACTTTCCGATGAACTCTTAATTTTGCGCCTGTAGCTAGAACTCTCCTCGAAATCTACCTTCGACGGATCCTTAGCTCTGCGCCTTCTCCGAAGGCACCTCTCCTTTGAATCAGTTCTATCAGCGTAGGAGATGCTGCTTCGGCTCATATTCTTGCCTTCATCGGAGGACCAATCAATCGATTCCTCCACGATTGAGCCAGATGATTTGGTCAGCTCCAWTAGAGGCGATTGCATTTTTTCAATTACCTTATGCAATGCTTCAATTTTCTTTACGCGATTCTGTTCTTCTGCTTCCTGGTGCATCATCTATATCAAAACAATAAACAAATGTGGGAGCAGGTAAGCACGCGGATTCAGACTCGTCGCACTGCACCGATTCGAAGACCAATGGAACCGAATTTCTCAATAATGAAATCCAGTTAAAATATAGATCACAGGCATTCGCCACTTTCTCGATCGACAAATTTTCCATTCCAATAGAATTCATCGAGTTCTTGAAGTTGGGTTTTGTTCGTACTTCGTATCAATAGCAGAGCAAGAGCTTCATGGGAAGAAGAAGAAACAGACAAAACAGAAGCCGCCATGATTCTAAGTTCAAATATATGTATATATATTCTTTTTTTGAGACATAAGTTCAAATTATTATTATTACTATTATTATTTTACTTCAAGTTCAAATAATTAATAAAGTTTAAAATACTATTTTTTGTGCATTTACGTCTGATTTTTATATATTATTATCTTTATGCCGTTAAATAATCCTTTTTAACACTTAACATTTATTTTTTACATTTACATATGCATAATTCACWACSAGTGGATGTATTGGTTAAAAATGATCATTTTAGTCTTTATTAATAAARTATTAATAATTTTTTATAGGTATTATTTTAGAAATAATTTAATTACAGACTTATGAGTACATTTTAATAAATTTAGTAGGTGAGGTATTATGATTCAAATAAATGATATTGAAACAAAAATAAAATAATTAAAGTACATAGACGAAAATATGAATTTCCAATATRCAATAATTAATTGACATTTATTATGGAAGAAGAAAACTAACATATATATACATATTTTTAATGAAAAAACTTAAATTGATACCCAACTCGTTTATATAAAATGRCGCTTCGTTTTAAATTCGTACCTAAACAATTGAAAAGTTTGATTTTGCCTCCAAGTTTGTTGTTTTGTAGGAGTATAATTACAAAATTTAAAATATCAAGAGCAAGATTAAAACATATCACGTGTCATAATACACTATGTATCAAATTAGAAAGAAAAAAAACAAAAAAATAATTACAATTATAATAATTATTTTAACAATCAATTTATCATTTTTTTAAAAGGAGGGTTGAACTTTAATACAGCAACTTGAGTATTGATGGAAGGTTCCAGTCCCACCTCAATGATACTTTTTAAAACAAAATTTAAATCTTATTTTGRGCAATTATTTTTTATAATGGGTACTTTAGTCTCACTTTTTTTTTTATAATTATTATATTTACTTTTAGACAAACGAATAAAAATTTGAACCTTTATTTTGGAGAGAATCAATAGACCTCGAGTTATGTTTATATTGATTATTATATTGTAGTTATTAAACTTTCAAATTGTAACTATTTTATTGATCACTGTTATTTTGTCGTCCAACATTCATCCACTCAATATTTGTTAAAGTATATACAGTCAAGTACTGCTCGACCATAAAGGCACCTATTTCATATCAAAATGTCAYCAGTTCGAATACTCATCCCACGTGTTGTACACGTGATGAATTCGAATCTCCACTCATACATGTTGTACTAAAAAATATGAATGATATTTAACTTCATARCATAAATTTAACATAATATGAATCTAAAAAGATGTCACCATTTTCAGTTTTTTTTTTCCAAATATAGGGTAAGTTTGAATTGTCTTAGTGTAATTATATTTTTTTGGATTATGCTATTTTTATAAAATTTTATACTTTTTAATATATTTGAAAATATATACATGTGTATATATATATATATTATTTCATTTGAAAATAAATACTATTTTTATGGTATTTATGTAGATATATGAATTGGCTAGGTAATAATTAAGTTGGTGACCAGTTTACAAATATATTACAAAATCTCAAAATAATATTTGTTTTTCATTGAACTCATTAAACTCATCCAATGGTAACCAAAATGAAATTAGAAAAATATAGAAATMAATATTAAAACAAAAAGGTAGATTGAGAATTCAGAATTCCAAGAATTATTCACAAATCACAATTTAAGGTCTTCTTCCACTTCCACGCCACTGTCCCCTCCATGTGAGAGCGGTTGAGCTCGCTGGATCGAATAAAAAACGGCGTCAATGCCGAGGCCGCTCACAGTCACAGTTGGCTTTATTCACGAATCCACGATTCGCGAGCCGCAGAGCAAAATCAGATGAGAAAAAAAGGCGAAACTACAATAATATAGTATTCAATAGTTCATGGCACATGTTGAAGACGCAAGCAACATGGAAGATCCTCAGATATTTCCATTAAAAATGCTCTCTCCTCCACCAAGTTTCCTGGATCTTTCGCTCTCACTGGCGGTCTATTTTTCCCGAGAAAATTTTATCGTTTCGCTCGAAAGTGTCGCCGTATTACTGTTTCGATTGGTTTACTTTGCGCGGAGCTTTCTTCTTCCGAGGGCGTGAGAATGATTGGAGGAGGACTGCAAGAGGGAAGGTCACTGGCCGAGACGCCCACCTACTCAGTTGCTTCCGTGGTTACGGTCATGGTCTTCGTCTGCTTTGTGGTGGAGCGGGCAATCTATAGATTTGGAAAGGTATGGGAAAATGATACTCTGTTTCTGTTTGGTTGTTGAGAAAATGAGAATGTCTAGGAACTTTTGAAATACTGTCCTCTCTGATTTTGTATAAGCTAAACTAGTTTCAGAAAATTCATATTGAATATAGGCTTGAAACAAGCTATTATCATTTTTTTAGTTTCGAATATTTTTAAAAGTGGTCATTTTAGTTCTTATTTGAAACGTTTTAACACAAAATTTATGCACACTTTTTAGACTTATATATTTATTGTTGTGATAGAAAGAAATGAGATAAAAGTGATAATAAAATGACCTCGTCACTAAAAGAATAAACAAAACTTGCAAATATATAAACTAAAATAGAAGTTTTGAAAATATATAAACTAAAATGAAACAAATATCAAAATAGTATTCAAACTTGGAATGAGTTGGGAGTTTTTTAGTCATGTTGTTTTTTATTTTATATTTTTAAAAATTAAACTTCCCACGTATATTTTTAGGAAAATATATTAAAACTCTTGAGCCAAGTTTTAAAAACAAAAAAAAATAATAAAATGAAAAAAATCTAACGTCCAAGTATTTCACATTCTAAAATAAGTTGAAGACCTTTTTAGTAATATTTTTGAAACTACATTACATTTTACATTGTTTCTTTAAAATAGAAAGAAAAAAAATACCATTGTTTTTTTCTTTTGGGTAATGCTTGGAGTTAAACCCCAACACAAAGGCAGAGATAATTTTATAATCAGATTTCATTTCTCAAATTGCTTCATAATAATTAATTATGATCCATTTCTTCTTCATCATCACTTCCATCACCAAAAAATTTCCTTCCTCTCTCTGTTTCTGTTTCTTCCTTTACAAACCAAACAAAAAACCCACATTTTTCTGTTCCCCTTCCTCTTCCTCTTCTGGGTTGCTCTCAAATTTCTTCCTCTTTAGAACAAAAATCTGCCCAATAAGAAAGAAAAAAACCCCAAATCATCAGATTTGATTATTTGAAAATTGGGTTGACTGAAAAATAGTGAAAATACCTTTGCAAGATAGACTTCTTGACCTTTTTTAGTAATATTTTGTTGAAATTTTTTTTATATTTGTTCATATTTTTATGTTATCATGAAAATATCAAATCAATTAACCTCTCTCGTATTGATGTCAAGATAAAAATGTCTAACATGTCAGTGAATATTTAATTCATTCGAGACCATAGCACATGTGATGACACTATCAAGATTTCATATATGACAAAAAAGAGTGAATACAGACACGATTTATGGAAAATTAAGATTAGTAAATGTGAAGGACAGAAATTATTATTTTATTTTATTTTTATAAAATGAATGGGATTAAAGAAATGGTGTGTTTACTTATTGATGACTCTATGTCAATGAAAAGAAAAATGAAGAATTTAGATTTTTGTAATGGAGTTTTACTTTTTATTTATTTATTTTTGAGTTCAACAACAACTGTGGAGTGGGGAATCAAGTTGACAATTTTATTAATGGTGTTACTTTCTGCGCAGTGGTTGAAGAAGACGAAGAGAAAGGCTCTGTTTGCTTCTTTGGAGAAGATCAAGGAAGGTAGCTTAAAATTCATTGCTACTTCCATCCACACTTGCGTTCAAATGCATGTCTCTCTCTCTATTACAGTTCAGAGAAAGTCAACTAAGAATTTTTAAGATAAATTTTGAAAGCAGTGCTTTTAAGTTAAAGAAATTCAATAAACATTTTTGGTATAAGCGCTGATTAAATGCTTTCCCAAAAAAGTACTTTTGAATATATTTAAAATTTCCAAATTTCCTTTAAGAGTATGTAACTAAAGTTTTGGGATCCTTCCATTTTAATATTGTTTCTCATCTGGGTAGAGCTGATGCTGCTTGGACTAATATCTTTGATGCTGGCACAATGTGCAAGGTGGATCTCTGAAATTTGTGTGAACTCGTCCCTCTTCACCAGCAGATTCTACATTTGTTCAGAAGAAGATTATGGCACCAATGAACACGTTATGCTTGAAAGTTCTTTTCTATCTCCTAATGAAACTGGCAGTCCTACAAGAGGATCAAGTGCTCTTCTGCATCAATGTGGTGAGGTAAGTAAGCTCTAGTTCTGCCTTTTGCTGTCTTGCTTGAAAAAAGAACAAAGAGAAAAGGCTTAATAAATTCTTGCAGGGTCGTGAACCTTTTGTTTCATACGAGGGACTCGAACAGCTTCATCGCTTCTTATTCGTTCTTGGGATCACTCATGTTCTTTATAGTTGTCTTGCAGTCGGTCTGGCAATGAGTAAGGTACAGTCTTTGTAAAATGTGGAACACAAATATGGAGGGAATCTTATCTTGGACTTTCGCATGAAAGATTATAACAATGAACAATCATATTATCTCGACATGACAACAAGAGATCCATTTTTTGATATGGTATCATTCGAATGTCTTCATGTGGTCTTTTTAGTTATCACTAAACTACCATTAAATTCAAAAGCTTATCCACTGTACTTTTTATCTCCCAAGTGAGCTTATCCACTGTACTTTTTATCTCCCAAGTGCACCTAAATTGTTGAGTAGAGTTGTCTTGTGTTTTGTTGTTGCAAGCATTACTTAATCTTTATGCACCTCATCTCATTGTAGATTTACAGTTGGAGGAAATGGGAAAATCAAGTTAGATTAGCTGCTGATGAAAATTTGCCAGGTATATCAATTTTGGACAAAGGAGGAACCATGTTCCTCTTGGTTTTAAGTCATACTTGAGTATTCTAATATCTTCTTTTAAGTTACATAATCGTCAAGTCAGTCCATAAGTTAATATTATTTTCTTAAGAATCTTTTCATTTCTTACCTATTGTAGCATTCCTTTGGTTCTAGCTAGGAAAAATAAGGTGATGAGGCGGCAAACGACATTCGTATTCCACCACACATCTCATCCATGGAGCAGGAGTCGTGTCCTCATTTGGATGGTATTTTCTTCGATAACTAGAAAGAGAAACAAAAAATAAGAATAGTTATCAAATGTTTATGTTTCTCAAAAACTAGAAATAAAAAACCACAAAGAAGAAATGGAAATATTACCAAACTGGTCTTTAATATTCCCTAAGCCAAGAGAGGTTGGAAAACTTTTGGTAATTGAGAAAGCAAATTGACTTAAACTAAACCGATAATACAAAGAAAGTCCCCCAATTTCAATCCAAGTCAATTGATGAATTCAGAAACTTGAAGCCTAAATTTTATGAACTCTTTGGATGGCTTTCTTATTATATGCTAGCAATAGAGCAACTAAGGGTGGTTTATTGATGCAGCTTTGTTTTCTACGTCAGTTCAAGAGTTCGATAAAGAAGTCGGACTACTTGGCCCTCCGTTTGGGATTCATTACGGTGTGTTATTTCTTCATTATAAAATTTCCTGCAGTTTGTTTCTACACCTAAGAAATTATTACTCATTCAATGACGGCATTGTCACTCTTTTTCATTTTTCCATATGCTGGTGGGAGTGCCTACAATAGCCATTATATATATTAAAGACATTACTCTGCATTTGGAAGAGTTCTGACAAGTTTTCTAGACTCTAGAGCAAACCCAAGTCCATTGAGCAACTACGTTCAAGCAATGTGAAACCTAATGCATATTTAAGTAAAGTGATAAGAAGAGAATTGCTCCTTTGAGACTAGGATCTAGATGTCTTGAGTTAAAATAAATTTAAAAGGTAGAGCAAAAGTTTTAAATCTTAGTTTTGTCTCCTAACTTTCATACTTATTCTATTTTGGCTCATTTCAAATTTCATTGGATCGTTGAACCATAACATAAAAATATATTGCAGTTCTTGCCACGAAATTTTTGTAATACATTTAACAAAAATCTTGTATGACATCACATGAACTTGTATTCTAAGCCACATGCACTGCGTTTATGTCAAACTTCCTCCAATTAAATGCTGCTCTAATAACATCCAGAAGCACAAACTACCAATTTCTTATGACTTCCACAAGTATATGGTTCGGAGCATGGAAGACGAGCTCCATGGAATCCTTGGAATTAGGTATGCATTTTTATGAATTAAATCAGTTACCTTCACTTAGTAGGAAATAAGATGGCTGATTGTACTTATGTATCATGCAGCTGCCCACTATGGGGCTACGCCATTCTTTGCATCTTTGTCAACATTCACGGTAACTTTTCATGCCAGAATGGTGTTATAAAGACCATACATGTCTTATTTCCTCCCTTTTTTGGCTGTTTAAAGTTTTCTCTACACAACAGGTCTAAATATCTACTTTTGGCTTTCTTTCATACCGGCCGCTGTAAGTATCTGTGTTCTCAAGTTTTCGAACCAAAATTATGCATTGTTCTAAAACTGACAGTTTGCTTGATTGAATTGTTATCACAAAGCTTGTTATGCTGGTTGGGACAAAACTTCAACATGTAGTCTCCTCTTTGGCTCTTGAAATAGTGGAACAAACAGGTCCAGCAATTGGGACTCAAATAAAACCAAGAGATGATCTGTTTTGGTTTGGAAAGCCTGAGATATTACTGCGGTTAATACAGTTCATCATATTTCAGGTCCAACACACATCACATATTGTCATATAAATTAGATGAACGCTTTTTCTTGATAAAATGATTGATGTCGTTTCTTCGTTTATGTCCCGTACTCACAGAATGCATTTGAGATGGCAACGTTTATCTGGTCTTTGGTAAGAACATGTCCAATCTCAACCACATAAATGTGTCTTTGCCTTAAGCCCAAAAGAAAATGCCTTTGGTTGTTTCCTTTCCAATCATGGGAAATTAAGTAGAACTGGACACATTTCTTAACTTCAGTGGGGATTTGAGGAGAGATCTTGCTTCATGAAGAACAGCTTTATGATAATCATGAGATTGACGTCCGGGTAAGGATTGATACTATTGTTAACCATGAAAACAAAGTAAGGGGAAAATATTGATCAATTTGTTACATCCATTGTCTATGCAGTGTTCTTGTTCAGTTTTGGTGCAGCTACAGCACAGTGCCACTGAATGTAATTGTTACACAGGTTTGTCCAACTTTTCTACAATAAGAAATTGTTTATATAGATCTAAAATGTTGAGCTTTCTAGAATTTGCAATAATTTTCTGAAAATTTTCAGATGGGATCCAAGTGTAAGAAAGCATTGGTGGCTGAGAGTGTGAGAGAGTCACTGCATAGTTGGTGCAAGAGAGTAAAGCAGAGGTCCAAGCGTGACTCTGCACAGTCTGTCACTACAAGATCGGTATGCTCGCTGGAATCAATGGTCGATGAGCGCGATGAAATAACTGTTGCGTCGGGTACGTTGTCACGGAGCTCATCATTCGACGATTTGAATCAGGTAACGATACAATCTTGCGGACAACTGGAGGCCATTATTGAATCTTCAAGCTTCCAGAAGCATGAACTTCCCCCCAATATGGCGAGATATCTATCAGAAGTTGCAAGTGTTTCTCATGCTTCTGCTAACGACCAAGAAAATAATGCAGAAAGTGGAGAAGATAGCAAGGTCGAGTCTCTTTTCGACTTGTTCCAAAGGACATGAACACGTTTATTTCATTCTTTTTATTCATCGTTTCTTCATCTTCTTTTTTCCCAACTCGAATCTCTTAAATTTCTCCAGCTAATATCACAATTTTTATTTTATTTTTTATTTATTCACTTTTTTTCTTCTCCCGTTTTCAATTCTCTCTCGAACAAGTATATAAATGAGAGGCACGGAAGTAATTTACTCTATAGGATGTTGTCAGAAAAGGTTAGAATAAAAAGTTTTTTAAAAAATGGACATATCTCATTGACTCCTCCAAATTTAGGTCATTTTGCAGAAAACCCAAAAAAAGAGAGGAGAGAGAGAAATAAATGATAGGGGGAGGGAGAGGAACACATGAATCATGTGCCCCTCGTTTCCTCTTTTTCCTTCCTCCCTCCTCGCATGATTCACGAAATGGTTAGAGAAGCTTTCTTTTGAAAAAAGTTAATAATCGATCGGTCGGAACAACACTTTTTGGCCACTCCGAACGACCATCGGAGTAGGAACTTCAGATAGGTGGGAGTCATTTTCTTAACTATCGGCGTTGATTTGTGCTACATCTAAGAGCTCCTACTTAGTTTTTGAAGTAGCCTATTACTATTTGGACTAAAATATCAGTGAGAACAAAGGTAGACCCATAGAAATATACAGGAAACCAAAACAAGAACGTGAAAACTTTGAAACCCCACATACAAACACTTGAGAGAAAGAAACAGAGTTTTATTAATCCTCTTGAATCATTAAGCTAAAGAAGTGAAAATGAACCCAAATGACTGATGAGATGAAGTCCTTCTCCTTCTTCACTCTCTCTTAACCAGGAAACTCCTCTGCCTTGTGGGTCTCAATGACAACATCAGACATGGGAGAAGCCAGGCAAGTAAGAACCCAGCCTTCTTCAATCTGATCCTCATCAAGGAAACTAACATCTGATTGATCCAGTTTCCCTGATTTTAGTTTCCCAACACAAGAAGAACATGCTCCTGCTCTGCACGAGTGTGGAAGTTCCAACCCTTTAGCCTCTGCTGCATCTAGAATGTAATCACTGTCTAAACAGTCGACCACTTTCTCTCCACTTGGTGTTATTAGTTTCACCTTGTAGGTTGCCATCGCCGTCACTCGCCCGCTGCGGCTGCAGCCCTTCTGCAGCCCGAACAGGCCTTCGCCCACATTGGAGACCGGCCTCGGCCTCGCCGTGCCGAGGAAGGAGGTAATGGGGCTGCAAAGTGCAGTGGTGGTGGTGGTCATTTTGCTGCTGAAATGGGATGGTGATGGTGAGAGGTTGGGATATTGAAGAGAAGAGGATGGTCGTGTGGCTTTAACGTGGACTTGGAGAGTGAAATCAGAGCTTGTGGATATGGCTAACCTTATCTTTTAGTGACAAATGACAAAAGATCTGATTTTGAAAATGATAAATTGATTGGCAATCGGCAAGAGCTTGAGGGTGAGTGTTGAATTCTTCTCTGATAAGGATTCCAAATTATTTTAGGAACTGATAGTTTTGTCGGGCTACTTGTGAGTAGAAAATAATGATTTGTCACTTCCATCGATAATCACACACGTTTGGTTTCAGTTTAGTGACAAAACCGATTAAAGCGAAGAATCTTTTACAATATTTTTACAATAGGATTGGAGCATCATAATAAGCGTTGTGTGTTCTAACTGGAACTTGGTTGATTTTTTGAAAGATAAAGGCATCGACTTACTTGTCGAGACGATCCTCATGATGGTATTATTGAACAAAAACGTAACCGTTAACTTCAAGTGTCAAGTGTAAACTTGGCCTAACTTTACTAATTTTTTGGGATATTTCAATCCTCTCCCCTAACGTTGTGTCACCGATGTCTAGAAACTTTTCAAAATAATTCAAAATAAAACTTCAATTGGTACACGCAAGAAATAGGTCCGAATCCAGCCAGGTTCTATTTCTCATGTCCCGCCCTTATTAGAGTATTATTGTCGACGGTCTCATAATCAAAAAAAGAAACCCAAAACACAACCACTTGAATTGTTAAGCTAAAACAGTACCATTTGCTTACTTTCAGTTCTTAGATTATGCTACAAAGAAATGAAAATGAACCCAAATGACTATTGAAAACAAGAGCAAGATATGAAAATGAACTCAAATGACTGATGAACAAGAACAAGACCAAGTTGAAACCCCAACATAGAAACACTTAAAAGAGAAAGATATTAAGCTAAAAACAGAGTCATTTGCATACTCTCATCACACCTTAGATGCCCAAAAAATGAACCAAACACTTGAAGAAAGAGACATATTGAGCTAAAAACAGTATCATTTTGCTTGCTTTCATCACATCTTAGATGCCCAAAAAAAGATGAAAATGAACCCAAATGACTGATGAAACAAGAGCCAGATATGAAAATGATCTCATGAGACTGATGAACAATAACCCCAACACACCCAACGCTTGAAGAAAGAGACATATTATAAGCTAAAAACAGAGTCATTTTGCTTGCTTTCATCACATCTTAGATGCCCAAAAAGAAATAAAAATGAACCCAAATGACTGATGAAACAAGAGCAAGATATGAAAATGAAGTAATAAGACTGATGAACAAGAACCCAGCATACCAAACACTTGAAGAAAGAGACATATTAAGCTAAAAACAGTGTCATTTTGCTTGCTTTCATCACATCTTAGATTCCCAAAAAAAGAAATGAAACATGAACCCAAATGAAGGATGAGTGATGACCCAAATGAAATTAGTCCTCCGTCCTTCTCTCTTAACCAGAAAACTCCCCCTCCTTGTGGGTCTCAATGACAACATCAGACTGAGGGTAAGCAACACAAGTCAGAACCCAACCTTCAGCCATCTGATCATCATCGAGAAAGCTGTTATCAGACTGATCCACCTTCCCTGATACCACTTTCCCTACGCAAGAAGAACATGCCCCTGCTCTGCAAGAGTATGGAAGGTCAAGCCCATCCTCCTCCGCCGCGTCTAAAATGTAACTATCCGGTGGACATTTCACCGATTTTTCTCCACTTGGTGTTATGAGCGTCACCTTGTACGCCATGGCCCTCACTCGCCCGCCGCGGCTGCCGCCCTTCAGCCCAAATACGCCCTGACCCATGTTTGGAAATGGCCTCAGCCCCGCCGCCGGCTGCCCCCGGAGGAAGGAGGTGGCCGGAATCGGACCGGAGAGTGCGGTGGTGCTGCCCATTTTTGGTGGTGATGGATGATGGAAATTGGAATGGAGAGGATGAGAAAGAGGTGGCCGTGGGAGTTGTTTTAGAAGAGGATATGGGTGTGTGGCTTTAACGTGGAGAGTGGAAACAGAGCTTGTGGCTATGGGTCAAGGCCTTATCTTTTGATGACAAATGATTGGAGAGGGCATGGCGTGTTATCTTTCCAGCCAAAAGTTCTGATTTTGAGAATTACTTAAAAGTCTGATAAAGCTAGTAGATAAAGTCTCGTATTAAGATCCTTAAGTCAATGGTTCGATTTCCAGTTCAAAAAGGGAAAAATTTGACTTAGAAGTAAAGTTACAACTAATTAAAATAAAAAAAAAATTTAATCTCATTTTGTTGTCTAAAACACTCCTCATTCTATTTTTTATGTGAATCGCCCGTGCCCTTAAATTATGATAAATTTTTATTTATTTTATTGTTTTCTAATTTTACCCTTTCTTGAATATATTGAATAGGGATGTGTTTGTCTGTTTGCTATGGTGGTTGATGTGACATTTAAGGTTTAGTGAGAGGTCATCCAAAGCCTTATTAATTTGGTCAATCTAAATATAGCTTAACTGGTTAAGACATTTATCTTCGTCCAAAAGTTGTAAGTTTGAATCTCCATCCTAGTACTGAAAGAAAAAAAGGATTAGATTAGTTTGAATGAATGAATTAGTCATCTAACTTTTCCTTTCAAGTTTAGCGGTCGGGAGCTTTCTTGAACCTTTGCAATTTCATATTTGTTTGAGTTGCATGCCAAGAACATTCAAGTGGGATTAATCATCTTATCTTGTGGAGTGTTTTGATCCTTGTACCAAAGAACATGTTCTTTGTCTTGAGAGTTTTGATCTTAAGGCAATTCGTATCTAATCTAGAACATTGAAATCGAAAACAAGAAATGGTGAAAACATACCATTGTTGCTTTTACGATTTTCACGTTGAATCCATTTGATTCAATGAATCTGAAAACAATAAACATAATTATATCAAACATGTCCTAAATATTTTATATTATTTTATTTTGATCATCGAATAAAATGTCTATATTAATCTATGAACTTTTTATTTTTGTCACCTAATAGTTGATTCTCCAATACTCATCATCGACCTGGTTTGAACAGGTGCTCACATTGCAGACAATGTTCGGTAAGGACCAATTAATCATATACTCGTCAAGCTATCAAATTTGTGGTCCGACCTAGATGCATTCATGATTTACTCTGCAATATTATTGATTCATTCCATGGAATATGCTAATAGTATATATAGTTTGAGCCTTGATTGTACCAATGGATTAGGAGAAGTTGAGCTCAATATAGTTTGCTATTTTTCTGTGGTTTTTAAAACCTCTCTTACAATGAACTGAATGGAAAATTCTGAATCACTTCTATCAGTTATATATATATGTGTGTGTGTGTTTTCACCACCACCATAATGTTCATATCATTCAGTTACTCAATTTTCTTTCCTGCTGTTATCAACTTCACCATCTACTCTACCATCGTCGTCGTTAGCCCGCCACCCACGCCCCGACCCGTGTTCGGAACAGACCTCAGGCTCGCCACCGGAGGAAGGATGTCATTTGGCGCCGGTGGCCATTGTTCTGCTGCTGGCAAGTGGTTATAGAATAAAGAAGGTAGGCATGTAGCTATTGGTGTTGATGTTATCTTTCGATCACTAATGAGATGTCATGGCTTGTCCAGCCAAGCTTTGATTTTTGAGAGTTGAATTTGCCTTGAGAAAAGTTCACTTGATCAATGGTTGTTAGATGGTTGGTCACAATTTGACCATCTCCTAATAACTCTTAGATGCAGATTCAAAGTTTATCACTGACTCTTAATAACTAGAATTTCGTTCCTGCACATTCAACAATGAAAAATATCGAAATGTTCAGGAGTTGATACCTACGTCGGATTTTTAAATTATAATACGAATACAACTTAAACATATATTAATAAGTTAAAAGCATCAATAACACATCTCAGGAGCTCCCACTCCTGATGAACTTAAAAAAGGTTATACATAATTCAAATACTTGTCTTTTTGGATCTATGAACTTAAAAAAATTATACGTAATTCCAATACTTGTTTTTTTGGATGGAAGCGGACGAAACGTTTTGAAACAAATATATATAGTTTATGACAGTATTCCACCTATATTTTCTTGGGAAACAGTCAATAGCTGTCTGTTCTCGCCTATCAATATAGAGTAGATTGCTTCCAAGCTCAAACCATTGGAAACGGAAACTTAAGTTTTTAAGGATTCAAAATGGTTACCCACTAGTGAAAATGTAACCTAGAACCCCAACAAAGAACAAGATTAAGTTGAAACACCAACCATATATAGAAACACTTGAAAATATTATCATATATGCTTACTCTCATCACTCCTTGGATGCCAAAAGAGAAATGAAAATGGAGTAATAAGACTGATGAACAAGAACCCAACATACCAAAATTGAAAGAGACTGATTAATATAAGCTAAAAAAAACAGTGTGCAAACTGTACAATTCACCTTTTTTTTTTCTCTGTTTGGTGTTGTGGCCGGAGGAAGGAGGTGGCCGGAATCGGGCCGGAAAGTGAGGTGGTGCGGCGCATTTTTGGTGGTGATGGTGATGGAAATTGGAACGAGGAGGGTGAGAAAAGAGGTGGGAGTTATTTGAAAGGCAAATAGTGAGAATCTTATATCGACCCTCCTTAAAAAATCGATAGTTTATTTTTAAAAAAGTTCTATTTCTATTTTTTTTTTTTTTTTCTGGATGGTTGTCAAACATTTAAAGATAGTTAAGACAAGATTGTTTCTCGTCAATTAAGATTTAAATATTTTCATATTTAAAACGAGGATATAAATCGTGTGGATCCAGAGAGTCTCCTCGAAAAGTTTATTAAGAAAAAACGTGGAGAGTGGAAATAGAGATTTGTGGCTATGGGTTAAGGTCTTATCTTTTGATAGACCAATGAATGATAAGGGCATGGATTTCTTATCTTTCCAGCCAAAAGCTTTCATTTTGAGGTCACCAGTGAATAAAATCTCAGTTGATAGTTTGATACCTCTATAATTCCTTTAAGAAAAACGGGAAAAAAAAAACCTTATAGCTAATTAAAACTTTATGTTTTAGTCCATGAATATTTAAATATCTATATTAATCTCATTTTATTTGTATTTTTTTAGACCTCTGTTACAGTGAATTGAATGGAAAATTCTAATAACTTCTATCAACTTCGCTTTATACCTTATCATCGTCGTCGCTTTCTTGTACGAAGGCGCTTACCATGATTATGTTGTTGGCAAGTAGAAATCATTTGGTAGGCTATAAAATAAATACTTGACTCATTATTAAATAAAAAAAAAATATTTGATTCAACTTAGCAGCCACAATTTGGCTATCTCTTAATAACGATTAAATGCATATTTAATAGTGAAAAATATCAAAATGTCCATGAATCGACACCTACCATAAAATTTATAAAATATAATTTAAATCCAACTTAAACATAGTGTAATAAGTTAAAACATTGTTTATCTTAGAGGCGAGAAATATGAATCCCCTACCCCAAATGAACTTAAAAAATGATACATAATTTCAATGCTCGTCTTTTTTGATGAGAAGCCCAAGCAAGAAAACGTTGTTATGTGATCAAATCAAATAATGGACAAAGAAGATTCTATTTAAATATGTATATATATCTCTTTGTGGTTTATGATACTTCACAAATATTTACTTTTGGTCTTTGAATTTCAAGTTGTGAAGGAATACAAACATGGTTACCCTCTAGTGCAATCTCAAAAGTGGTTTCAACACCACCATTTATAAGCCAAAACCAGTATCACATGCTTATTACAAATGCCAAAGGATCAACAAAACAATAGTAAGAGAGGAAAAAAGAAGACAGATGAAGTAGAAGAATTATATCTGCAGATGTTTCATTTAACTAACAAGTTCCTCCTCCTTGTGGGTCTCAATGACAATATCAGACTGAGGGTAAGCAACACAAGTCAGAACCCAACCTTCTTCCAGCTGATCATCATCAAGAAAGCTGTTATCAGACTGGTCCACCTTCCCTGATACCACTTTCCCTGCGCAAGAAGAGCAAGATCCTGCCCTGCATGAGTATGGAAGATCAAATCCTTGTTCCTCTGCCTGATCCAGAACGTACACATCATCTGGGCAGCTGAATTCCTTCTCTCCCTCTGGTGTTATCAGTTTCACTTTGTATGTTGCCATTGCAGTCACTCGCCCGCCACGGCTGCCGCCCTTCAGCCCGAACAGGCCCTGGCCGAAGTTTGACACTGACCGGAGGCCCCCCGCTGGCTGCTTCCGGAGGAAGGAGGTGCTCATCATGGCGCCGGAAAGTGCGGTGCTGCTGGCCATTCTGCTGCTCTACCACTGCCACAAAGGAGATGGAGAATATGGAATGGCCAGACGAGAGGAGGCTGGGTTATTAAAGATGGTGGTTTCTGGACACTGTGTGGCATAAAAATGAAGTCCTGGAATGAGAGGCTACAGTTAACATTATCGTCCTATCATCAGCCACAGCCACAGGGACCATGAAATGAGAGGTTGTGGCTGCCACGCGATTCTGTCTCACTGGATTTCTATCTTCCAACTTAATGAATATACGACCTTCTCTTCTCAAGCTGGATTTCTACCTTCCAACTTAATGAATATACGACCTTCTCTTCTCAAGCCAACTAGTACGTACATCAACTAATCCCATGAAATGATAGTGGCCTATCCTACCTAGTAATCTAGATAGGTGGCCATTGACCACTTTAACATGAACTCATCTCCTCTAAATCCTTTACAATTTATAATTTAGCTTTACCTCTTTGAACCAATTCAAGATGGCTTCTCTCCTCCCTCCATTTTACTTATTGTCTATAAAGAAATAAGAAAAAAAAACAAATTTCTTAGTTTGACGTTTTCTTTTTCAGTATTTGGCACTTCATACTCTAATTTTATCACTTGTAGTCTACACAACTGAAAAAGGAAAAAATGGGCAAACGACTTGATTAATTAAGAAACATTTCAGTTAAAAACTCCAAGTCGTCCAAAGTAACACTCCTGAATACCAATCATCAATCAGCAAAGTTCAATTCAAACAAGAAACTCATCTAAGCACCACATTCTAAGACAATGATATAGAAATAGGCATTGGTCATATTACTCTCTGATGGGTGAAGACAAAAATATTATAGAAATGACATGGGTGTCACAACTTTGTCAACTTTTCTACATTATGAAAAACAATCTCCTCAAATTCAAAATCAAGATATTCAATTACAGCTGGGGGAAGTCATATCAATTACCAAAAAGAATATATCTCAGGGCTAGAGCATGTCCCCATCTCAAAATCTTTGATTTCTACAGGTATTACTGCGTAGCTAGACCTCCCACACGTGCGTCACTGACATCAAGAGCTTTCTCGAAAGTTATTGCCTCCACTATCAAAATGCTTCAAGGTAGCGTAGGTCTTTCGCTTCTAAAAAAACTCCTAATCACACTTGATGTTTCTGTAGATCCTCCGTACAAACAAATTGGAGCCCAGGTAACCAACCGCCCCTGCAAAGTTCAAATTGCATTAACAGGAAGGAAGAGGAAACAGAAACATGATGATATCCCATGACTATATGACATTCTAAAAAATAGGAAAAAAAATTAGAGACAAAGATGGAGAGAGAAGCAAGAAATTAGGCTCTTTAGATGAGAACTAGCATTCTCTCACAGACACTACTTGGAAAGACAGCCTTCTTCGTGTTAAAAATGTTGAAGATGCCACTATAGAAGTAAGCACAAGAAAACGCTTTGTACGAACAGTGAGATGTCGGTAAAATTGTAAACTCACCGCAAAGAATTCCCAAACCAAGGCAGAACATCATAGTGTATCCAAAATAGAAGCTGGTCTGGAAAAAGCCGGACATCTTAGTCTTGACATAAAAGTAGTATATCGAGTAGAAGTACACATAGACAGCAGTTGAAGCTGCAGAGAAAAATGAAGTCCACTGCCAGTGATAGTTCTCGGCATTAAGCAAGAAATATGTCCCGACGATTGTCACGCAGACAGTAACAATAATGAGAATTAGAAAAACCAGCAGCATGAATCCATATACGTAGTACACCTGTGGAAAAGGGGGACAACAAGTTATAGGCCAGGCTGTTAGGCTCCTATTCATATATCACTCTAGCACTTTATTGGCGACAAAACAACTAAACAACCAAACTCGCACCTTCAAACAAAAAGTCATTTATTTCATGGAAGAGACTTTCAAATACTGTTAATTTAAGAACGTACAGGAGCAATAAGTCGAGAACAAGAACTGGAAAAGGTAATGAATTCCTTTTTTTTCCAACAAAAACAAATTTTCCATTGATGGATGAAAAGGAAAAAGGATATGAATTATTACACATGCACAATACATAAAATGAAGTGGTTTTATGTTTCCTGTTTGTGTTAATGATTCCATAATTCTCAAAATTTCCTGCTTTGTTGATTTTAAAACTTGAAACAGATATAGAATAGTTGCCACCAACCACACAAGCACATCCCACAAAGAGCTCAGGCCAGTAATCAATAACCATTTAAATGTGGCAATGCTTAACATGAACCGTAGTTTCTTTTTCATATTATCTTCATATCATCTTTAGCCAGAAACTGAAAGAATTTTAAAATTACCTTGTAATTCCAGAAGGATGTAAAGACAAAATACATCTCTATGAAAATACTACCAAAAGGCAGCAATCCTCCCATCATGGAGACGACTGACGGTGTGAGGTACCATTTCTTCTCAGGAATAGGACGGGGAATAGTTTTGACACGACAAGGATTGTTAGGGGCACCACTCCAATTTCGCCCAATAACCGTACCAAGAAGTGCCAGAGGAAAAGAAATGAAAGCCCAAATGACAAAGACAACAACCATTGTACCAAATGGAATGGCTGCTAAAGACCCATAGAATATAGCGATAGTGTTCAAGATGAACCCAATTCCAAAGCACAAAAATGGGAATAGAGATGCCGTGAAGATCATTGATTTTATCCAGTTTTTACCTGTCACAATGACAACAAAGTCATGAAGTATCAAAGAAATAAGCACCCAAGTGCCCAAACCTCAGTAATAGATGTTTAAAACTAAGGTTTGGCATCACAACCCCAAAGCAATTTGTCAGGTAGTTAATAGTTTTACCAATCAATATTGCACACCATAGGTCTAAAGTAAACATACGAGCAAGTGAAACATTAAACTAATAATAAATACTCACCCCCATTGCGTGAGTACATCCCAGCACTCACGTAACCAGAAATGGATGATGTAAGAGCATAGCATACTATGAAAGTTGTGACAATTGCTCCTCTCCTGTGCAAATAAAAAGCAACAAAAGGGTAACATGAGATCTTTATCTTTGGTGGTTAAATGATGAGCCCATAAGCAGGCTAGTAGATTGTCATGTAGTCGTATGGTATCAACTGCCAAAAGTTGGAAATGTTTCTTACTGGCACAATATTCAAAACATTCTGAAAACCTTACTGAATTAGTTTGCTTATATGGCACACCTTAAATAACACTTCCATACAAATATCAGAAAAAGGTTAAATTTCCCAACTTACCCAACATACAACATTCCAACAATTGCCAATAGGATGACAAGGAGAACAAGCAATGCAAGCTGAGCACCTGTACCAACAACAGCTGAAAGAATTACTAAATTACGAGGAGGCCGAAAAACATCACCATGCACCAGCTTCCAGCCAGACTCTTCGCTAACATCTCGCTCCTGAAAAAGGAAGCCAAAAAAAAGTCACAACATATAGAAATATGGCAGTGAAGTATTTTGAAGATAAAATTTAAAATGAAAATAAAAGAGCATAACATATAATAGGGAAGAAAGTATAACCAGAGTTTCCAGATCATCGTCTTCACGTGCATATTTAGCATAGTCATTTCTAAGAGTCCGCATCAGTATCATAGAGACCAAACCAGTGAGGAAAATAACCATCATGAATGAATTGAAAATGGAGAACCAATGGATCTGCCAAAATACAAAATGCCAGGCAATGATCTCATTAATGGGATCGTGATATAAGACAAGCATGGACTTAAGATAACATAACAGAAGCATCTTTAGTTACAGAACAAAGATATGGAATCGTAACAAAAGGTGGGGGGAATCATATGTTACCTGATGCTCAAAAAATGGGTAGTCCAAATAAATGTCAAATCGGCGAGCAAAAGTGACATTGGTAGGAATCCATTTCACTGCATATGTCAAGTCGACTGTCTTTCCAACTTCCAGTGGCCTTAAATTTTCTTGAGTGAGATTGACATGAATAATCTATAAGAATTACAATTTAGATGTTAAGACATATCTATAATGAACGCCAAAATCCAAAAAAAATAAAAGCAAAATGAAAACCATGCAAATCATGAGGTGGGAAACAAAACCTGATCTTTATTATATTTGACAATGATAGTCTTATGCGTGTAAAGGACATGCTTAACATTATTGCTATTCTTGTCAGGATGCAACTCACCAACAAAGCCTACAAAATAAAAAAAGGGGGAGGCGATAAAAATCACTCAAGGCCATCAAATTGTTCATTATTCAAGATATCACTAAGATACAATAAGATAGAGCACTTACCCCAGAGAGGCAAATCATCTGAAGTTTCATTCCCCATCCGCATCATGAAATTAAAAATCATAAGAAGAAAATATGGATGAGTGAATTCTTCAATAATTATTAAGATCAATATAAAAAAATAAATCAAGAGACCTATAAAGACAGAAAAGGCAAGGTCAAATTTCTGTTTTACACCTTGGTCAAGAATTATTTATAGGACAGTAGGAGAGAAAAATTCATCAAACAAAAACAAACATCACATGTATTTAGTTAGATATCTGATGCTTACAGTGCAGTTCCCTTCCCTTGAAACTTACGGATCATACAAGACAAGAAAAGACGAGCATATAAATTATGAAATTCTTTTTCCTGATGAAAAGAAAGATGTGTATTAACAAAGGAAAAAATACGTGAATCAAAACAGTTCTGGTGTCTGCATGCATGTTCAGGGTTCTGCGACCTTGAAATGTTAGTCTTACAATTAGTTAGTTATCACTTAACTTTTGAAATTATATTAAAATTTTATCTATAGATACGTTTTTAGAAAATCGTGTCATAATTTCGATGTCCATATACATGCCAACTTTTAGTAGGGCAGTTAGACCTTTAAATCTTTCGTTCTTACAACAATCTGTTTACAGAATCCCAAATTTCTGTTCCTAGCTTTAACAATTCCTTCATTTCTTGCTTGCTATATTTGGGCGCAACTCTACGTTTTTAATACAAACACTATGTATAACATACCCATGAAGAACTCAAACCAGTAACCATTTTCAATTGCATCCTTAAACTGCATAACCTTTGCCTCATCAAGCTCAAGTTGACAAATGGTAGTCCTCTCCACATTTTCTGCAAAAAGAAA